TGGGATTATCTCCAGATCCATCGTGACCCTAAACCTAGATAAAGTGCTTATTGAAAACGAATGAATATCTGGCAGAAAAGAATTTCAATATATACACACACATTTCCTCAGTGGATAGATTTGTAACACTTTTTCCACACAAACAGCAATAAATGTGGATTAAGGAAGCAATTCCAAATCTCTAACTGGAATCAGCTGGTATTTTATTGACTTTAATTTTGATTGTAAGCTCTAACTGAGTTTCTCAGGACTCCTGAGGAGCCATAAAGGAATCAGCTTTAATACTAAATGCGTTAGACTGCAATAAAAACCATGGCAGTGAAGATCCCGAGAGTGTGGCTTTAATTTAGTGTTGGAGTTTCGCGGTGACGTGTCAGGAGTTAACAGCAGGATGTGAGGAAGGTTTTATTTTCCTCACACCGATGAGCAACGACACTAAACATTCACAGCACACATTTTAGACGGACCATTATTATGTCCCGTAAATTAATTTCCCTTGTGAGACCCCGTGTGCTCATCCGAGAACATTTCTGCAAACTGCTCTTCATTATCTTCATTTAGATTTGTGGGTTTGCATTTTATTTTATTTTATTCTACAGCAGAGTAAATAGCTTGTGTTTAACAAATAACTATTTAATAATTACAAATTACACGGTCACAAAGCAGCTTTACAGAAATATTCTTCATTCAATTATATTGTAAATGTGTGAATTTATCCCTAATGAGCGAGCCAGAGGTGACGGTGGTGAGGAAAAACTCCCTGAGACGATACGAGGAAGAAACCTTGAGAGGAACCGGACTCAAAAGGGAACCCATCTACTGTACAATGAACTAATAAAAACATTTCAGAGTTAGTCTACTTCTCAGGTAGTCCAGCTCCAAGCAAGGCTGTACCTTCCTTTTTTTAAATATGATACATGTCCTTCAAAATGGCTGAAAATTCACTTTTCAGAAGCTCATAGAAAGATGATGATTGTAGACAGAGGCTTGACTTGCTGGACTGTTACAGAAGATGGTTATGGTGACATCACCACCACTGTGGACAGCAGTATCTACAGTATCTACAACACTGACCATCTGAAAAGTGCTTCAGAACGACTTTTTAATGCAAATATTGCACTTTGAAGTTCCCGTATTTCAGAGAATAAGACGGATACAGCTCTGACGTTATCTGGTATCTCTGAGAAGTACTTCAGCTCGGAGCAGAACATTTGAACAAGAGCACAGCTTGGATTCGTCACTGAAATAAAAGCCAACAAAAAGTGAAGAAAGCTTAATTTGTACAAGCAATCCGACACAGCAATCCTCCGATATAAAACCAGCTATCAACATCTGAGCAGCCCTTCTCTGGTAATTTTCAGTTTGTAATATCAATCCTCGCCTGAAGTAAGTCTGAAGTAATCTGGAGACGTCAAATAATGTTTCCTTCCAAACTGAATCAGTGCGTTTTCACTCCTTCTGAGACCTTCACTGGGAAAATACATAGAAAAGTAGTGAGATTTTAAGAGAAGAGTAAGAGAAGAAGAAGAAGAAGTCTCCATCTCGTTCTCTCCCTCACTCTCTGTCGAGCTACACATGCTACTTCTGAGTTGCCAGTGATCCTGACCCCTTCTGCTCCTCCTCGCTGGCTGACCCATCCTGATGCCCTACTTCTGGTTGGAGTTCTCATCGGTTGAGTTCGCTCGCTGCTGCTGGGGCCCCATATGGACGGCCTGAAGAACCGTTTGGATTGCTGGGGATGGTGCCACCTGGGGGCTGTGGAGATGGTTTGGGGATCACATATGGGGAGCTGTACTGTAATGGCTTGGGACTGCGATTGCTGTAGTGG